CCTCCTTTTCCCCCCCCCCCCCCCCACCCCCCGCCTCCACTCGGGTTCGCTCGGCAGCCCCGACACGCGCCCCCTCTTTTCCCTGTTTCTCTCACAAGTGTGCCTTGGTCTCATCCCAATTCATGTGTGTTTGTATTTTTAGGGTGATTGAGGTACTGCGCCTCTGGCCGTGGAAGCATGTCGGGGCCAGTGCCGAGTCGGGCCAGGGTCTATGCAGACGTGAACACTCAGAGACCCCGCGAGTACTGGGACTACGAGTCGCACGTCGTGGAATGGGGGTACGCCTGGGAGATAGGAGGGGGACCTACGCCAGGGCCCGTGCGCGAGCGCTGCCGCCGCTCTCCTCCGCGGCGCCGGGACAAACGCCCTTCTGAAGGCAGGAGGGCAGGTCGCGGAGCCTCCGTTCCAGCCGCGCGCGGTGCGAGGGTGGCACCCGGAGGAGCGGGGGACCGACCGGCATTTTGGTGTTCGGCGTTGCCATCCGGCGCCCGCCCAGGGGACTGCGCTGCTCTGGGGCGGGCAGCGGGGGCCTGATTTCCCGGGGAGCCCCGGGCTTGAGCCTGCGGCCCCTCGGCAGCTTTGCAAGTGGAGCCACTTGCATTTAAGCGTTTAAAATAGACCTGGGTGCCCGGCTTGAAGCGCACAAGTAAGCGCTTGATTAAAGCAGCGTGGTAAGGCTTTGGTTTTTATCGCTGGGAAGGATGGCTACGTCGAAAGACAGCAGCCCCCGCGCTGCTGCCCCCAGGGCGCTGATGGGAATAACGGGGAACGACGGTGGGAAGCTTGGGAACGGTCCCGGAGCGAAGAGGCGTTTGAAAGGACGAAGGTGAAAAGTCTCGTGACTGGGGGTTGTTTTTTTTTTTTGGAGTTCCCCTGCGGACTTGAGTCTCTGAGAACTTGAGATGAAGACGACCAGCTGATTGTTTTATACGGCAGCTGGCTTGGCGACGGGCTGGGCAGAGGGCCAGCTGTGACTCCTCAGGTATTAACGTAGCGCTCGTCAGCAAGAAACGCTCCCCTGCTCGAGAGCATCTTCCTTCCCGAGCCGCGCGCCCGGCGCTTCGGGCTGAAGGAATGCCGCCCGCCAGGGACAGAGGCTGCTCTTTGTTCGGTAGTTGTGGTAAAATCTATAACATGAGGCTTTTATCTGAGGCCGCGGCGTCAGCTGGTGCCTGGGCACCGAGGAGGCTGTCCCGTGCTGCGGTTGGCAGCTGTCGGGGGGGGTCGCTGCCGGGGCCGGATTAGGAGCCCTCCCCGGTGCTCTCCCTCCTCCCCGCCCAAACCGCTGGAGCGCGCGCCGGCCACCGGCCAGTACCGGTGGGTTAGAAATGAAAAGCTTTTTATCCGCTTCCAAATCCCCTGCGCCAGGCAGAGCCCTGGGGAGCCTTCGGGGATGGTAATGCCATGTCTTCTGCGAGCATCGGGGGGGGGGGGGGGGGCAACCAAAAAAACCAATCGCTCTGATGGGTCACCCAAACAATCCTTGCCGCTAACGTTTTCCCTAACGCCGACCCCAAGCCTTCCCCGCTGGTTCCTGGTGAAGATGAATTAGTCCTCCCCCTCTGTAACGCCTGGTTCACCGCGCTCCCGTTGTTCGCGTCTGCCGAGCGTAACCTTAGGTTGAGGGGCGACGCAGCCGGGCACGGCCGGGCTCGTGCTGCAGCTCCGCTGCCCGTTTTAACTCTCCTCCTTTTCCTCGAGGTGCTGACGGGTGCCGTCTCCTGTACTGTCTCTGCTAATTAGCAATTTGCGAAGTCAAGCTTTCCAGCCTGTAATTCCCTTTCTTTCCTCAAGTTGTTTATCCTTATCAAATCCCCGGGGGCCCTGTGCCTCCCCTCCTTGGCGTAGCAGAAATAATTGCCGGTACTCCTGCTGTTTCCTTCAGTCCCCTCAGGTGACTTTGGTCAGACCTTAGCGGATTTAAATACGTGGAGGTTTTGTGGGCGAGAGTTGCTTTATTTTCTTCTGATTTCTCGTATGGAATATTTATTTTTACAAACCCTTGGGTGCGCGAGGTCTTTGACGCCTCAGTACAAAGGAGGGGTCCTAGGGGAATTTTTAATGTCGGGTATTTTGTCCGTCTCCGCCATTAGCCAACGGCTGGCGGGCTCTGGAGTTCCAGGTGAGCCGGTCCTTGCAGCCCACCGCCGCCTCTTCGTAGCCGGGAAGGGGGAAAGGTGGAAAGGCATCGTCTCCGCACCCCCCGTAGCAGGGCTGGGAGGAGGGCTCGGGCTGGGAGGGAGCGTGCCAGCATTGGGAGTTGGCAGAAGCATTTTCGGCGTGCCGGAAGGGTTTGCCCGCAGGGCTGCGGCGCGTGCAAGCCTGGGGGGGGTGCGGGTCTGTCCCCGAGCTCCCCGTAACGCCTGTGAGGTCCGGTGTCCATCTCCTCGTGGAAACTGCCGAGGCAGCGCTCTGCCCCGCGCGTGCGCGCGCGCTGCCGGCAGCGCTGCGCTTCAGCGGTGCTCTCCGGTCGTCCGCCGGTCGGTTCGCGTGTTCCTCTGCGGTGGTAGCTGCTTCGCTCCAGCCCTAGGCGCCGTGGCGATCTGCTGGCTCTCCATTTACCGTAGACTGACCCCCAGATCTTGACCTTCCCCTGGGAGAAGCGTTGTCTCTAAAGCAAGCGGTGCTCTCTTTTGAGCCGGCCGCAATCTCTTCACCTCTTATTTCTCTGTTTCTCGAACAGCAACCAAGATGACTATCAGCTCGTGCGGAAACTCGGCCGTGGCAAATACAGCGAAGTCTTTGAAGCCATCAACATCACCAACAACGAGAAAGTGGTTGTGAAAATCCTCAAGGTGGGTGTTCTTGCTCCTCCTGTTCCGTTCCTCTGCCGATGCTTCTGCGTCTTCCCCTCCTTCACCTCTTCCTGCCCTCTCCCTTTGAAGCGCGCTGTCGATGTTTGGGTGATCTCATCTTGGCTGAGGAAAACATCGGTCCCCAAGGCAAAAGTTTCAGCTAGCTCGTCTCCTGCCCGAGCAAACCAGAGACCGGAGCGGGGAGGCGGGGGATCGCATACGCCCCGTGGAGGCAGAAGGCAGGTCCTGTGCCCAGCCTCGCATGGATGTTCTGCCTGTGTCCCCTCTGCCCTCCCTCCCTCTCCCCCCGCTGGCGTCACCGCTGCCAGGTTGCCGTGGGTGCCACGGACTCCTCCTGACAGGCGGCCGCGTCTCAGCGGGGCGCCGGGACTGCGGATGCTTTAGGGGAGAAGGCTTTCTTTGGGCCTGTTTCAGGTCACGGTCTCGCCGGTTCAGCACAGGTACTTGGCTTTGTTCTGATCCAAGTTCATAAAATCCCCGTGCTGGATCCGGGGAGCGCAGCTCCCTGCCCGAGCGAGGACGCGGGAGCCCAGAGGTCTTTCCCGGGATGAGCAGAGCAGCGTCTTGCAACGGAAGGTCGTTGCGGCACGTGGTGTCTCGGCCTGTAAGTTGGAGCCGATGCCTGCCCGGGGGATGAGCACAGGTACCCCCGCGTCTCCTGAGAGCTCGGGCAGGGCACGGAGAGGGGTTCCCCAGAGCTAACGGAGTCCTGACAGTCCTGCTTCTCCCGTTTCATCGCTCGTTAGGCTCGCGGGCCGTGTTCAGGCTCGTCGGCTCGTGGTAGCAAGCTAATTTCGGTGGCGTCACCAAGCCGCGTGTAATTACAGTCTGTAGGATGCGCGAGTTGTAAAGCGTGGGGACGGCCTTAAGAACGTTGCCTTTGCAAGAGAAAGGGTGAAGGTGGAAGGAGTACAGCAATTAGGGAGCACGACAGAAATACACGTTAAGGAGAGCTCGGGACGGGCTACGAGTGAGAACGCGAGGAGCGCCCTCGTTGGCGTGTTTGCCCGGTATCTCGCCCAGCCTGCGGCGGAGAAGCAGAAAGCTAGCTCGAAAGGCAGAAAGAGCATCCCGTCTTCAGAGGCAGGAGAGAGGCTGAGGTCAGCTTCTCTGAGCACATCCAGGGCTGTCTCTACGCTCGCTCTGCAAGCCGGGGGGGGTTTTCCCCGGGCGGCTCGGGCTGGGGACTGCTTGTGAGGCAGCCCTGAGGAGTTACGGAGACGCGGATGGGCTTGGCTGCTCGGCGTTACGGAGAGTGGATGGGCTTGGCTGCTAGACCTCTTCTCACTGAGTTGGGCTTTTCTTTGTTAACTGTCCCCGTAGTTTCAGTCAAAGATTTAACCTGGGGCTTGAGGAAACCAAGCTTGCTCCTTAAAACCTTTTTTTTTGTAGTAAAATCTTGTGAGGCAGCCCTGAGGAGTTACGGAGACGTGGATGGGCTTGGCTGCTAGACCTCTTCTCACTGAGTTGGGCTTTTCTTGGTTAACTGTCCCCGTAGTTTCAGTCAAAGATTTAACCTGGGGCTTGAGGAAACCAAGCTTGCTCCTTAAAACCTTTTTTTTTGTAGTAAAATCGTCTCCCAGCGGTCTCCCAAACGCAGGAAACTCCGTTCCTTTGGAAGCGGAGAAGCCGTCAGACGGACGAGCTCGCAGGACGCCGTTCTCCAGGGCCATTTGGGTGATTCAGGCTCCCTCCGTTCTGCCGCAGGGCTGGCGCGGGGCCGGGTGACGCTGGGTACCCTGTCAGGGGAGAGCCACCGTCCTGGGGGAGGCAGAGCCTGCGCTGCTCGGGGTCAAGACGCGGGCTGTGCAGACCCAGAGGACGCGCCTGCTCATCACAGTTTCGATCGCACGACTGAAGAACCGCACGCTCCTTCGCCGTTCCCCTGCCCCTCGTGCCGGAGTGGCCGGAGAGGTCTGCCTGCCGGTAACTGGCTCTCGTTTTCTGTTTTATCAGCCCGTGAAGAAGAAGAAGATCAAGCGTGAGATTAAGATCCTGGAGAATCTCCGAGGAGGCCCCAATATCATCAGCCTGCTAGACATAGTGAAAGACCCTGTGGTAAGGAAGGGGAGGGGGCAGCTCTGGCACCCGCAGCTGGCCAGGCGCGGGGGAGTCATAGAATCATAGAATCACTGAGGTTGGAAGAGACCTCTAAGATCATCGAGTCCAACGAGTCCAACTGTCGACCCAACACCACCATGCCCACTAAACCATGTCCCTCAGCGCCTCATCTACACGTCTTTTAAATACTTCCAGGGACGGTGACTCAACCACCTCCCTGGGCAGCCTGTTCCAATGCTTCACAGCCTCGCTACAACCTCCTTTCAGGTGGTTGTAGAGAGCGATGAGGTCTCCCCTCAGCCTCCTCTTCTCCAGGCTGAACAACCCCAGTTCCCTCAGCCGCTCCTCATCAGACTTGTTCTCCAGACCCCTCACCAGCCTCGTTGCCCTTCTCTGGACACGCTCCAGCACCTCGACGTCCTTCTTGTAGTGAGGGGCCCAAAACTGAACACAGTGTTCGAGGTGCGGCCTCGGCGTCCTTTCGGAGTCCTTCCCACCCCGTGAGTTAAGTCCCTCTCTGAGCTCGGGCTGACTCCCTGGCCCACTTGGCATCCGTCTGGCAGCTGAAATCAGCCCGGGGAGATCTCTGCGCGTGTCGCCCGCTCGAGCGCTGTTGAGGCAGTAGACCAGAGGGTAGAAATGGAAGGAGGTATTTCTCTGGCTGATCCAGCGGCGGCAGGTGGAGGAGGGCTGTGCCTACAGCGCCGTCTGCTCTCGGTCCCGAAAAAGTGGCTGGCCGCAAGGGATGCCTTCTGCCCGGCGGGTCGTTTGGCTTTCGAACCGCCCTCGGTCTCGTGCAGCGTCAGGCCGCTTTCTGTTCGCTGGGTGACGAAGGAGAAGGAGAGGAGAGGAGAAGGGCAGGCAGCGGCCGCCGTGGGCGAACCGGCCGAGGGCGGGAGGAGGTTGGGGTTGTGCCACCGTCAAAGCCATCGGGCAGAGGGAGGCTTTCCTCCCGCCTCCGTGCCTCGGCGCTCTGCGGTGTGCTGAGATCCTGCGCTCCTCCCAAAAAGAGGTGACGTTTTCCTTCGTGGCGCGGGCCGGTGCCCCGGCTCTTGCCCGGGGGCGGCTTTTACTTCTGTTATCCCCGCGGAGCCGGGGTATCCCACCGTCCCCGCCGGCCTCTAATCCGGCCGGTGTGATCCGGGCAGGGTTGCCGGTTCAGGTCAGTTCTGCGGCGGGTTCCGCTGCCCCGAGTCGGGCAGGGGGCAGGCAGTGCTCGGCAGG